TTTAAAAGTTGATCTCTTTTTAAAATTTCTACATTTGACATGTACCAACTTTAAAAATATATTTGAGGAAGAGAGTGATGGAAAAAATATCTGATGTTGACCTCTGACCTCTATGGATAGGTACCTATCTGTGCTTGTCCATCACCTACACACATGCACACACTTATACAAACATGTACTTACACCACCTACATATGCATACACAAATTTCCTTCAACTGCTTTGTAAAGATTCCCTCTCTCCTTCCTTTTTTCCTTCTTTATTTTCTTTTAAACTTTGGAGACAAGGCCTCTCTTCATAGCCTAGGCTAGCCTAGAATCCGTTATCTAGCCCTAGGCTAGCTTCCTGAGTACTAGGATTACAGGTGCAAGCCTCCATGTCCAGCTCCAAGTTTCTAACGTTTATATCTGAAAAGCGTTCTTCTTATTGTAGAGCATTCACCATCTCTTCCTGAAATGCCCTTACCTTATGAGTCAGGATGCCATAACCAAACTGTACCTCCTGGTGACAGCTCCCTGAATTGCAGGGTAAAGCTCTAGTAAGGTCAGCCAGTTGGAGACGAGGGCAGAAGGGATTTTCATGGAAATGCATTTGAGATTCTTTCTATGACTTTACATTTTCAAGTTCCGAATCTCACAAGGGTTGCCCAGCTTGGTTTCTTTATTACAGTCATGAAAGACACAGCAGAAACGTCAGGGAGCCTGTGGCTCCAGGGTCACCAGTGTTGGAGACAGTCTCTTGTTGCCATTACTAGTGCTATGCAGAGTTTAATGTGTATGTAATTTATTTGAGTGGTCTTTTAAGCATGGAAGTCCTTTCTCAATATCTCCAGGATGGCCTCTGGGGTTATGTATTTCTGTCAAGCTCCAAGATGCCATCAGTGCTCCTGGTCCATGGATGACAGTCGTCTGGCTCAATGGCTCCTGGTCCATGGATGACAGTCTGGCTCAATGGCAGTTGGCAGTGGAAGAGGTCAAGGGCATGCCTGGAGAATTTTCTCATAAAAGGGTTTCATGGGTCATACTCTATTTTTGAGTAATGTTTCAGTGGCTGTGTTTTTTTAGAAGTACTGTTTTCCCTTGGTATCTGTGGGGACTGATTCCAGCATTCACCATGGAGACTGAAATCCACAGATGCGCAAGTCTCTTAGGTTAAATGGTGTCATACTTGGTGTGTAGGACTATGCACTCCCCCCCATAGAATTCCTGACATTATGCAAAGGCTTTATAAATAATTGCTATACTCTATTGCTTAGGGGACTATGAGAAGGAAAACATTTTGTATGTGTTTGTACAGATTTTTTTTTTTTTTGAGACAGGGTTTCTCTGTGTAGCCCTGGCTGTCCTGGAACTCACTCTGTAGACCAGGCTGGCCTCGAACTCAGAAATCTACCTGCCTCTGCCTCCCAAGTGCTGGGATTAAAGGCGTGCGCCACCACTGCCTGGCTACAATGTTTTGTTTTTTTAAATTGTTTTTCATCCATGGTTGGTTGAATCCAGGTATAGAACCTTTAGTACGGAGGACTGGCTATAGGCTCTGACTACATTTTGTTGAAACAGTCTTAATGTTTTATTTGTTTGGATTTAATTTTGTTGTGCGGAACACAGTTCCAAGGCAACTCAAGATTCCCTTACTTAGCTAAGAGTCATTTGTTTCAATACAAGCCATCGAAGGGTCTCTTGCTTCCCACAAATCTGTGAGACCTCATTTTTCAGGGTTTTCTTACACAATCTAGAGTCTGGTTCTAGACTATTCTTTATGACAGGGCTGTGGCAATTCTGTCACATTCTCTCTTGACTGTCCTCACATAATTATAGGAGTAAACTTTAGATAATTTTGTCAATAATAAAAAATATTGTGGTTTTTGAAGTATATGAACCTACACCTCACCTTGGGAAGACTTAACCTTCAAAATTATAACCTTTCTCATTCATGACTATAGTATGTTTCTCCTTCAGTGTTACCCAATTTTATTGGTTTTTTTAGTTTTTAATTTTTGTGAATTTATTTTTGTTTGTGTGTGTGTGTGTGTGTGTGTGTGTGTGTGTGTGGCATTGTGTGCGTGTCAGGCTCAGAGAATAACTTGTGGGAGCTGACTTTTTCATTACATAGTGTGTGTCCTGTGGATTGAACTCAGATCACAGGACTGGATGGCAAGAACCTTAACCAACGTGCTATCTTGCTCACGCGCTTTTATAGTTTTAGCAGGAGTCTGTGTTTCTTAACACAGTGCCACATTTACTATTAAACTTATTCCAAGCTATCTGATTCTTTTTGGTTCTTTTAAATAATTGTATCTATTACATGTCATATTTTTATTACATTACATTCAACTTTATATTTGTGGCATGGACACTAGCCATAGGTAACAATTTAAAAATTAATTAAAGTAAAAATAAGATTTGAAATTTAGTTTCTCCTTCATATTAACCACATTCCAAGTGTCCAAGAACCACAGAATGTTGATGGGTACCACACTGAAGCTCAGATACTGAACCCCTTTAAAAAGTGCTACAAGTTTCTATTACACAGAGGTCTGGTGTGTAACTGTTGATGCATTAACTTTGAACCAGTTATTTCCATTTATCTCTTGGATTTTGCAAGAAAGCAGTTGCTTCCACCCCCTGAAATACCATGAGACCATCTCTTTCCTGTCAATGAAAGAAGAGTTGACAAACACGTGTCAGAAGGGTTACAGTTCCCCACTGTGCCCATGGCAGTCATTACTAATCAATCACAACACTTCTGCTATTTCCTGAGTTATTAAAACCTCCTTCTTTAGTGTCCTGCTCTTCTCTATGGAGACACAATATTAATTACAGTGAGTTAAAGAGAGAAAACTAAAGGCCCTCCTCATGGTTTGAAGAACACATTGTGACAGGAGTTTGCTGAATCTCCACTGAACACCATTGTCCGAACGCCAGATGACTCTGGAGAGGGTACATTTCTTAGCTGTAGGCGGGAATCTTCTTGGAGTGCCTTGGGTGGCATATCTGTGGGATCAGTTTCAGAGGTCTTGAGATGGAATCCAATGGAATCTGTAGGACAAAAGGAAGAGTTTGGGATCTGGATCTTTCACAGGAAGCCCATGGAGGCCACAGGGAGGGAAATATGACTGACTGTGGCAACGCTCTCTGGGCCCTGAGGTGGGATGGAACCCATTGATTGAACACCAGATCTGCCAGTTGTGTGATACCTCAAAGCCTGCCCTGGACCCTCTTGTGGCTGATGTGGGTAAGGTTTACCCTGGGCTAGGTATTTGTGAAGGGCAACATTCCAGAGGGTGATATGTGTGGGAGGTCCCACCTAACTCAGTCTGACTGTATATCACTACTCAAGTAGACATTGCTGAGGATTTTGAGGTCTACAGGACAGAGATATATTATCACATTTACTTAGTGGGTTCAGGTACTGGCTTTGTGCTCAATACTTGTTCACACCACCTCACCTGATGCTCACAGCAACCCTGGTAGGAAGCAACATCACTGTTTATCCCCATCTGAGAGATGTCAATGCTCAGACCGAGGGAAGTTGTGTGCCTGGTTCCTCACAGGCAGTATCTATGCGATTCTGTTGCATACATCATGCTTCTGGCTTAGTTTTCTTAGTGTGGGATGTGGGCTTTGATAGATGAAATGTGTGTGCATAAAACCAGAGCCTGTCTTCAAGACATTTAGAATCTTGCCAAGTGGGGGAAGCTGGATAGTTCTAAATGCTGAGGGGGCTGTGAGGTGGAGGGATGGGGCTGGAGAGCAACCATAACTGCAGTCAGCTCTGCCCCTTGCTGGCCATGTGACCCTGAGTCTGATTTTCTTTACTAAGACTCTGTTTTCTGGTTTATAAGAGGCTACATAATCAATCTGGGAATATCAATATAGGAAAGGGGAGATGGACATATAGGTTGACTCCACTGATCACTGTAAAGCATAAAAACCCTAATGCTAGTGTGCCACACAATCCCAGCTTCATCTGCCGGAAGCCTGGCAGGCACAGGTACAACACCTGCTGGGTGAGTACATGACACAGTTTCATCTTACAGCCACACGGAGTCAGGAAGGGGTGTGCACAGAATTCACCAGAGCAGACGTGGGAGTTGTGGCTGGCAGGGTCTTCAGGATAGTGGGTGAAGAGGGGAGAAACAGGTGCCAAGGGAACTCATTGAGAATCAGGGTGGCCCTGCAGGTCACCGAGTACTCATGTGTCCAGTCCTGTGCTGCAGTTAGCAAACCTTGTCTTGATTATGTCTCACACAACTCTGAAGTCCATTTCCAACATTACCCCCAGGTGAAGAGGCCAGAGCTGAAGTGAGCCAGGTGATTTGCCAAACAGCACCAGGGCAGTGCACCTGCTGGAACAGAACTACTTACCTTATCACCAGAGTGTAAAATAAAAAGGGAGGAAGAGTCTAGGCTCATTCTCCCAGTTTCATGGCCCCACTACCTCCCGGTAGGGCCCATCGAGGTCCGCACCTTTACTACATGGGCCTATGTGGACATGTCGCCAAAGTAGAATGACCTAGCATCCTAGAAGCCATTTCTGTGTTCTACACCATCTGTGCTCAAGATGCCAGGTGCTGGACATGGCTATCTAGAACATTGCTTGTCCTTAGAGAAGGAACCTGTAGAACGGGGGAGTTGTTCACAGGGAAGGGCAGCAGATACTGCCAGCAATAGTGTAAGTGATGGCATTGTGACTTTTTGTTTATATTCTGGGGACAGAAGAAGACAGAAAGAGCCATCTCTACCTGATGGATTTCCCATAGCTGCCTGAGGCTAGGGTGAGAAGAACTCTATAGGCCAAGCCTCTGGGTTCCCACAGTGGTTGGCCCAGATACTATGGCTTTAATACAATGATCTCCGAGACTCCAGGAGAAATTTGATTGTCAGCTCTGTCTTTCCTAGGATTTGCTCCCTGCATCTGACAACTTCTGGAGGGTTAGTTACCAACCCCCCTTTTCTGACCTACAGGCTTAGTTGATCCACTGTGTTTTCTCTTGCTAGCTGTCTTCTGGGGAGATATTGCCTTGGATGAGGATGATCTCAAGTTATTTCACATCGACAAGGCTGAAGACTGGACCAAGACACCCATGGAAAAAATGGGACACGACACTGGCAAGTATTGGCCCCCTCGTCTGCTTGGGTCCCAGTGGGCTGCTTGAGGGCTCCATTAGGAATCTTTGATATCTTTCACCTGTATGTCTAGAGACCTATGTGGATGACCTAGAAGGACCACACTACTTCCTCCGATGAAGGCATAGATCTGGGACATTAAACTTAGCCCCCCCTCACTTTCTCTCTCTCCTCTCTCTCTGTATATGTATATGTGTATATGTAGCATCTACTTGTTCACATTTGTGCATGTATGTGCAAGTGTGTGGAGGTCAGAGGTCAAGGTCAGGTGCCTACCTAGCTCTTTCTCCACCTTTTGTAAGGTATAGTCTCTCACTGAACCTGGGGCTCGTCAGTTTGGCTAGGTTGGCTGGCCCAGGAGTATGTGCCTCTCCTTGAGCCTTGCTCCCAGCATTGTGCTACCACACCTAGCTTTCTAACGTGAATGCTAATCATTCCGATCTTCATGATGTACAACAGGTACTTTGTCAACAGAACCATTGTCCTAGCTCAAACTTAGTTAATCCTTCTAAGAAAATCTCTAGTATCCTCTGTTGGAGGGTTCAACCTGGAGCCTAGTGTTGGTTCTTAAGACTCTAGCTTGAGATTTTGTTTGTCCCAGATGGGAGAGAATTGCTAAGTGAGATGAATTTAAATGATCTCTGACAACACTGTCAATGGTAATGACCAGGCTAAAATGAGATATTTGCCCATGGAAAATCATGCACTTGTTTGATTGACAACCAGGCAAGTCCTTATGTTGTCTGGGCCAGGAGAACCACCCAGTTTTCATTATGTGGCTACTTTCTTCTTTCTCTCTTGGATGCCAACCTTGAGATGAGGCTGGTCCCCTGCGTGCTCCTCACCCCCTATCCTCCACACACTAGACTCAAGTGTCCTTAGCTTTGTAGCCTCCTGGTCCTTAGAAGTAGTGCAGGGCACTGCGTATGGGATTGGGAATCCTCATGTGGTGGATGGTAACTTGTTATTTGATGACTGAGGCTCACAGCATCCTGCTGTCTGTGAACCTTTTCCTCACACATCCTTCCTTCTCTTGAAACAATTTAAGCTTCATCCTGGGCCAGATTCAGTGCTGATGAGAGAAACAGAAAACAGTCTGACCTTTGCCTTCATGGAGACCCTCAGAGCAGGCAGATGGGTGTAGATCTGGTTCCATGTCCCTGTCTGTGAAACAGGGGTGAAATTCAGACTCATTCCATAGAGGTTTCGAAGCTGATGACAAAGGAAATAGTCAGTAACCTGCCATGTGCCTGGCAATGGTAACATACCAGTGCCTGGCATGTAAGATCTCAAGAAATGGTGAGTTGTAGTAAATTAAGAACAGTGGGAAGAGACAAGAGTGGAGGAGTCTTGGGGCATCATATAAATGGCACCCTCATCTTGTGTTGTAAAGGAGAATTAGGAGCCCTGAGTGAGAGAGGAGACTTCAGGTGAAGAGGAAGACAGGTACATAGTTAGGAAACACAAGAGGGGGTCTGTATGGAACAGAGGTAAGTTGTGATCACCAGAGGATAGCCCTTTGGCAGACTTCTTTAGGTAAATATCTGGAGAGGATAGCTAGGGCAGATGAGAAACAAAGCTTTATTGTCTACCCTAGTGAGCCTGAGCTCAACCTGTGTACAGCAGGAGTCCTCTCTGAAGGGTCTCAATAAGACTATATATAGCTTGCTAAGTATGGACTTGGCCATTCCTTGGTGGAGAGGCCCAGTCTTCTCCTTCCCGTAGCTTATTAGTTGCTCTGAGGATGCTGAGTCCTAGCTGAGGATGTAAACAGCTGGTCACATTGATTGCTAGTAGTGATGTCATGGGTGTATCCCTAATGATGTACGTGGTGATGTTAGGAATATTCCTGAAAACCAGAGAGAGGAGGATGAGATGTGTCCAGAGTCAGAGGCTCCAAGGTTATCTGAGGAGAATGAGCGGCTGGTGGGATTGTCTACAAAGCTCCCCACAGAGGGTGTCAGATGAACAGCCAGTGTTGTCAGTAGGTCATGGAGCCATTGCTAGTGTCTGGGAACACATCAGACTTCCTCTGTGGTGTCTGAGTCTATGAACAACATTAAAATTTGTGTGGCCTTTTCTATATGGCTTGAGAAACTGACTAGGGGTTCAAATGAAGAATTGAATTTGTTTTTAATAACAGCATATCCACTGCTTCAGCTGTACTCCAGAGTAACAGGCCATCTCTTCATGAATTATCACAACTTCTATTCATCCTCTTCCTCAGCCCCTCCCAGGGGTCTGGAGAAGATGATCTAAGGAATTTGTGCTTAAGGTGGTTCTTAAGCCTCATTCACAGCATTTCTTCAAATTACTGAACACTGAATATCTTGCACACTCATTGCGATGAACTTCACACTATGATGTCCATGTGGTACGTTTCAGACCCCAAAGTCTCTCCCTCACAGTCAGTGCTCATCCCAGGATCATCACTAATCTGACCCTCATCAGCATCACCCTGCTTTGCCTGTGCAGGCCACACCCCGCTTAAGCATTCTTCTGTATCTTGTATTAGCCCGCACTACTACAAAACACACCCATAAGGTTGTGAAATAGCTTATCCCTATTCAGGGCTGTGAACTGTTCTGCTACATCTTCTGTTGACAGACGTTTGGGCAGCTCAGGGTCTCCTGCTATATATTAATGTGATAATAGCAGAATAGATTGCCTTAAGCCCCCATTGCCCCTTGGCAAGCTGCCCTGGGTGGAATGGTAGGGTACTGGATTCAAGTTGATATTATCAAATCAATTACCAAAGTGGTTGTGCCAATTCACACTCCAGACGGGAACACACTTCCTTAGAAAGCAGGAGTGGTACCCATGCAGAGTCTGCTATCAGTTTTGGATCTTGAGCTCCTTAACGTGGGTCTCCTACACCCTCTGGCTCACACAACAGGCCCATGTGCCATCAGGAATTCACAGGGTTTCCCCATCCGCTCTCTTTCACTGGTCCTGGGGCACTTGCTATGGCATAGCAGTTGTGAGGGAAAGGCTCCAGAGAGACTAGGCAGTGGTCAGACACAGTAGCATGCATAGCTGCTAGAGAGGCCCCTTCACGGAAGGTTACTAAGGATGCTGTGGGCAAGGGATGTCCAGTGGTTCACCAGTTGCAGAATGCTTGCTCAGGATAGATGTGGAACTGGCATGTCTCTCTGTTCTGTCCTTATCTTGTGAGCTAACAGAGGACAGCTCCCACATCACATTCAGCTTTGAACTCCCCAGAGGCAGGCCAGCGCCTTGGACCTAGAAGGTGCTGACCAGTGTTGGGACAAGAAGACAGTGGTAACAGAAGCTGCAGACCCTGGCCTTCTCCAGGTCACGGGTGCCAATGGCGCTTTGGCCTCAGAAAGATGCTATGAGCACTGATCACAGTCACAGGCTTGTACTATTTGGGCTGAATCCCAGAGGCGAGCCTCAGGTTTTTTATCTGCCAAATGAGAATAGAAATAATTCTTACCTCAGAGTAAGATGATGAGGTCGTAGGAAAAAATAAATGTGAGGTGTCTGGCACCTGATAAATGTTCAATAAGTGTTGATTCTTCTTCATATTTGCAGAGAGAAGATTGATGTAGTAAAGGATTAGAATTTAGACCAGGGGAAATTGCCACGTATGGCAGGACTTGGGGGGTAGGACATGGTGGCTGGACACCAAGGCTCTGAATATACCAGTGATGTCTCCTCCTTTCTCAGCTTAGTGCAGGTTTTTTTCTTCCGTGTGTTTTTGTGGCAAGGTGAATTTTTATCCCAATTACTTTTCTCCGAGGGTCAATTGTATTTTGTAACTATCTAGAATAGTTATTTTACTTTCAGGTTGGGAATATTTTTTATTGATTTTGTTGATTAAACTAATACTGCTTGATTTTTTTTTTAAAGTGCAAACGATCGTAAGTGGAAAAGGAAAATCCTGTTATCTCAGCCCCAGGGATCACTGGCACTACTTGCTGGATATCTTTTTGTCTTGATGTACCATGGCCTTGTATACACACACACACACACACACACACACACACCTTTTAAACATAAAGATTTTACTTCTGGAATGTGCTGGTATAGTCTACATGTTTGGTAACATCGATGTGAAGACTGTTTCCCTTTTAATTTAATTTTTAAATGGTGTTTCTGGGGTGAAGATTGTACATAGATATTTAAGCTTTTTCTGGGTTAAAAAAAATAAATTTAAAGGAGCCATTCCTTAACCCAGTCTCGCTAGCTCAAATGCGGGAAAGGATGCAGTCTTTATGATAGCTCACCTAGTCTCTACACTTTGATAAATGCAGTTCCCTCCCTTGGAGGCTGAGAAGAGAGCTCCATCAGGAGAGAGCTGGAGTCCCTGCATGGGGCAATAGGGAAAAGGCTGTCACTGCAGGGCAGCCCACAGGCCACTTCCCTGGCTTTACCCTGTGCAGATGGAGCTACTCTCCAGGCTTCAGAACAGAGGGACATCAATTGCTTCTAAGGGGGGCCATCCAGCCTCTTTGTCCAGAGGTGTCATGGAGGTGCTAACGTTCTGACTTCACTCAGTGGCAGCATCCCAGCTCCCAGCTTGCTGCATCCTTCCCTGGCCATCCCCAGCCATTTTGTCATCAGGAAGGAATGGAGAATGGTTGGATCATGAGGAGCCATGCTCTTGTTTAGAGCCCATTCGGTGTTCTGCATGGACACAGAAGCTATGGAAGGCTTCAGGGCTCCCAGTAGGGACTTCCATCGCTGTTCACTTAGGCCACAGGTTTGAGCTGAGTCCTAATGTGCTTCCCTGTCTCTGCTCTCTCCCTCCTCATCTTGCTTCCAGATCATCTCCCTGGCCACTGTATCATTTTGTACTGTTTGGAGTAGTGTTCCTCCCATTCATGTCTAATAGAACTCCAGAAAGTGACCCATCGAAGAGGAACTTTGTAGATCTAGTTAGTTAAGAAGCGTAGGATGAGATCCTCTTGCTTTAGAGTGGACCCTTAAATTCAGTGACCAGAGTCTTCACAAGAGGA